GCCTTGATCCACTAGGAGGCCTGGTCTGGGATCGGGCCGCGGGGGGCGTTGACCCCCGATACACCCTCACAGAGGTGTCCTCCATGAACTTACAGACTTGTACGTAAAACTGAAAGCTTCGCTGATAGTGCTCATGAATTTTTATCAGTCTGAAATTCATCGTTACAACACCTGTGTGTCAGTCACATAGTTCAGTCTAACACCTGTGTGTCAGTCACATAGTTCAGTCTAACGCCTGTGTGTCAGTCACATAGTTCAGTCTAACGCCTGTGTGTCAGTCACATAGTTCAGTCTAACACCTGTGTGTCAGTCACATAGTTCAGTCTAACACCTGTGTGTCAGTCACATAGTTCAGTCTAACACCTGTGTGTCAGTCACATAGTTCAGTCTAACACCTGTGTGTCAGTCACATAGTTCAGTCTAACACCTTTGTGTCAGTCACATAGTTCAGTCTAACACCTGTGTGTCAGTCACATAGTTCAGTCTAACGCCTGTGTGTCAGTCACATAGTTCAGTCTAACACCTGTGTGTCAGTCACATAGTTCAGTCTAACACCTGTGTGTCAGTCACATAGTTCAGTCTAACACCTGTGTGTCAGTCACATAGTTCAGTCTAACGCCTGTGTGTCAGTCACATAGTTCAGTCTAACGCCTGTGTGTCAGTCACATAGTTCAGTCTAACACCTGTGTGTCAGTCACTTAACTCAGTCTACCACTCAGCTCACAACGAAAGGGACCCGGGTTCGACTCTTAGGCAAGAGCAAGTCTTCTTGCATCTGCTGTCTCTATTTACCTAACGATAAACAGTTAATTAGCTGTCGTGGGTGGCATCCTGGGGTAGGAATTGTAATTCACATAAATAAGGGTTGAAGCCAACTAAGGCTGGGTAACTTTTCCTAAATCTGCAGAGTGAATTTGCGTATAAAATAAAAACTTCACATTCATTCGCAGGATGACGCGACGTGCGCGAACCCTCGCCCCTCAAGTGCAAACAAACACACAAGAAGCTTACAAACACAGACATGGACACAAATACTGCAGGAGAAGCGCAGGTCAACATGCCTTCTGTCCTCTACTGCTGCGTCGGCGAACACAAGGGCAGTGTGGGCAGGCGAGCTAGCGGGATTGTACTAGGTGTACGAACTGGCAGTGTGGGTCTACGAACTACCAGCGCGGGTGTACAGACTAGCACTGTGGGCGTACGAAAAAAGCAGTATAAGGGAATAACTAGCAATCTGAATGTGCAAGATGGCAGTATAAGTGCATAAACTAGCAACATAAGCGTACGAACTAGCAGTGTTAATGTACATGCTAGCAGTATAAGTTCACAAACCAGCATTTAACCTTTTTATATGTATGTATGTATGTACGCATGTATGTACTGTATGTATATATGTATGAATGAACTCAAGTGTATAGACACATGAGAAGGTGGAGACGGAAATGTCCTCATTACAGTGATGATGTCCTTGGTTCTTGGCTAAGGTCATGAGTCCAAGGGAAGGTCACAAGTCTGCGGGATCGTAAATTATTAGTGGTCGCAAGCCAGCAAAGTCGTAAACTGGATGTCACAAGCCAGCAAGGTCGCAAACTGAATGTAGCAGGCCAACGAAGGGATTGATAGGACAGTGGAAGGTGGTACGCCAGCAGAGAGGACGTCAGCCGTGTGGAAGGTCAAAATACCGAGGGAGTGGACTGTGTGGGGTGACCTACCCGACCCCACCCTCACCACACACAGACACACACACACACACACACACACACACACACACACACACACACACACACACACACACACACACACACACACACACACACAGGAGCTCGGACTCGACCCCCGCAACCTCAACTAGGTGAGTACACACACACACACACAACCACAGAGAGATTGACTGGGAAAACCTGGAGCCACATGGGGGTGCCGAAACATGGAGAGCCAAGATGATGGATGTGTTACTGGAAAACCTCATGCATCAACATGTTAGGGACACTGCCAGAGAGAGAGAGGGGAGGATGAACCAGCAATACTGGACTTCTTGTTCACCCTGAGTAACTCGAACATTGAGGAATCACACATGAAATGCCCCTTGGAGCTAGTGATCACGTGCTTCTGAGCTTTGAATACACTGTAGAGTTACAAGTGGATAGGGTAGCAGGAGTAGAATGGGAAAAGCCAACCTACAAAAGAGGGGACTACACAGGTATGAGGAACTTCCTGCAGGAGGTTCAGTGGGAAAGAGAATTGGTAGGAAAGTCAGTAAACGAATTGATGGACTACATAACAACAAAATGCAAGGAGGCAGAGGAAAGGTTTGTTCCCAAGGGCAACAGAAATAATGGGAAGACCAGAACGAGCCCTTGGTTTACCCGAAGGTGTAGGAGGCAAAAACTAAGTGCACTGGAGAATGGAAAAAGTACAGAAGGCAAAGGACCCAGGAAAATAAAGAGATTAGTCGAAGAGTCAGAAATGCATATGAACAGATAAGGAGGGAGGCCCAGCGACAGTACGAAAACAACATAGCATCGAAAGCCAAGTCTGACCCGAAACTGCTGTATAGCCACATCAGGAGGAAGACAACAGCCAAGGACCAGGTAATCAGGCTGAGGAAAGAAGGTGGGGAGGTCACAAGAAACGACCAAGAAGTACGTGGGAAGCTCAGCATGAGATTTAAGGAAGTATGTACAGTCGAGATAGAAAGGACTCTGGGAAGACAGAACAGAAGGGTACACCAACAAGGGATATACCAACAGGTGTCGGATGAAATGCACACAACCGAGGAGGTGGTGAAAAAGCTGCTACGTGACCTTGATACCTCAAAGGCGATGGGACCAGACAACATCTCTTCGTGGGTCCTTAGAGAGGGAGCAGAGGTGCTGTGTGTCCCACTAACCACAATCTTCAACACATTCCTTGAAACTGGGCAACTACCTGAGGTAAGAAGACGGCAAATGTAGTCCCCATTTTTAAGAAAGGAGACAGAAACGAGGCAATAAACTATAGACCAGTGTCAATGACGTGTATAGTATGCAAAGTCAGGGAGAAGATTATCAGGAGGAGAGTGGTGGAGCCCCTGGAATGGAACAAGATTATAAATGACAACCAGCACGGATTCATGGAAGGCAAATCCTGTGTCACAAACCTACTGGAGTTTTATGACAAGGTAATGGAAGTAAGACGCAAGAGAGAGGAGTGGGTTGATTGCATTTTCTTGGACTGCAAGAAGGCCTTCAGCACAGTTTCTCACAAAAGATTAGTGCAGAGGCTAGAGGATCAGGCACGTATATCAAAAAAGGGCACTGCAATGTATCAGAGAATACCTGACAGGGAGGCAACAACGAGTCATGGTACGTGATGAGGTATCACAGTGGGCGCCTGTGACGAGCGGGATCCCACAGGGGTCAGTCCCAGGACCAGTGCTATTTTTGGTATATGTGAATGACATGATGGAAGGGATAGACTCAGAAGTGTCCCTGTTCTCAGATGATGTGAAGCTAATGTGGAAAATTAAATCAGATGAACAGGCTGGTTCCGTGGTCCAGCAACTGGCTCCTCGAATTTAACCCCGCCAAATGCAAAGTCATAAAGATCGCTGAAGGCAAAGAAGACCGCAGATAGAGTATAGTCTAGGTGGCCAAAGACTGCAAACCTCACTCAAGGAAAAAGATGTTAGGGTGAATATAATCCCGAGCATATCTCCTAAGAAACACATCAACCAGATAACTGCTGCAGCATGTAGGCGCCTGGCAAACCTAAGAATAGCGTTCCGATACCTCAGTAAGGAATCGTTCAAGACTCTGTACACCATGTACGTTAGGCCCATATTGAAGTACGCAGCACCAGTTTGGAATCCACACCTTGTCAAGCACGTCAAGAAATTAGAGAAAGTGCAAAGGTTTGCAACAAGGCCTGACGACACTGGAGGACAGGAGGGTTAGGGAAGACATGATAACGACATATAAAATACTGAGAGGAATTGACAAGGTGGACAGAGACAGGATGTTCCAGAAATGGGACACAGAAACAAGGGGTCACAAGCGGAAGTTAAAGACTCAGATAAGTCAAAGGGATGTTAGGAAGTATTTTTTCAGTCGTAAAGTTGTCAGGCAGTGGAATAGCCTAGAAAGTGACGTAGTGGAGGCAGGAACCATACATAGTTTTAAGACGAAGTTTGATAAAGCTAATGGAGCAGGGAGAGAACCAAGTAGCGATCAGTAACGAGGCGGGGCCAGGAGCTGAGTCTCGACCCCAGCTACAACAACCAGGTGAGTACACACATATAAAACAGTATTTTTAATAGCTCACTATTAAGTCACGTAACGACTGCTCTTTGCTCACCTCTTGCTGATGTCTGGGACATCAACTCCTAGGTTGTGTGCTGTCCATTTTTTCACTTGATGTTGCCAGTGAAATGGTCCAAGTCGCGGACCGAAATGTCGTTATAAGTTTTTTCCATGTGCGTGTTATTCTTGTATTGTTCCAGTCATGTTATTGTGCCTTTTTGTTCTCCATATTTTGTTTGTATAGTAAACTATAAGTTGGTACTGAAATGGAGAACAAAGACACTGTCAGTGTGTAGATGAAGACACTTGCTCACTGTTCGAGACGTTTACTGAGGAAACGTTTTGTCACAAACGGCTTCATCAGTGCTAATAAGGAGCGCAGAAGTCACTCGTGAAGAAAACGTTTCTCTCTACATCTTGGTACTAGTGATGTTTCTCTCTACATCCTGGCACTAATGATGCTTCTCTCTACATCCTGGCACTAATGATGTTTCTCTCTACATCCTGGCACTAATGATGTTTCTCTCTACATCCTGGCACTAATGATGTTTCTCTCTGCATCCTGGTACTCCTGACATGCTACCAAGAAAGTCCTAGACGGTGACACAACTGTCACCAAGTCAGTAAACAGACACCAGACATTCCGATTATCTTAATATATGGTGAAAGAATATGATAAACACAGCAGTGTTCATCATCTTCTTGTCGCATTGCACTTACCTAGTCCAGAGAGTACATGAAGGAGAGGATGGTGCAGCCATGTTTACTGAGCCATCCAGGCGCTATCTTCCTGCTCACTATCAACTTTAATATCCACCTCTGCATCAGTTTTAACTTCCCAGTCGTATACTTTTCTCACTATACTTCATTCTGCTTTTCCACTGCCAGGTAAACAGAAAGGGGTAAGTGGTGAAGAACTGCCGACACCGCTCAGGTTTCTCAGGTAACCTGCCCATTCGACGATCCTTCGTGCGTCATAATCTCGGTATTTATTTTCCTTCTTGTCTCTAAAGTCACCTCGACACCTGTGGCCGCTAGGCCGCAGTCAAATATGCATTTCTTACATATATTTTTTTCAGTTTTAGCCGCCAGTTGCATGCGTTAGCACCATTAAACTAACACTAATGGAAGGATTTCCGTTCACTATTTGATTCTTGGATATTTAGGATTAAACTCAAAGATGAATGAAAAAAGGGCCTTTTATTTACAGGGATTCTCGAGACTTTCTGCAAATCGCAGATTGTTACAGCACTCGCGCACACCTGCACAGCCGCGCACACCTGCACAGCAGGTCACAGAGCACCACAATCTCATCTAGCAAAGCGCCTTTTGCACGTGAGTGAAAACCACATACTTGTCTAACACAGCACTTTGAGCGATCGTAACACAGTACTGCCAGAGCGTGGCTACCACGTCTAACACAGCACTTTGAGCGATCGTAACACAGTACTGCCAGAGCGTGGCTACCACGTCTAACACAGCACTTTGAGCGATCGTAACACAGTACTGCCAGAGCGTGGCTACCACGTCTAACACAGCACTTTGAGCGATCGTAACACAGTACTGCCAGAGCGTGGCTACCACGTCTAACACAGCACCTCGAGCATTCGTAACACAGTACTGCCAGAGCGTGGCTACCACGTCTAACACAGCACCTCGAGCATTCGTAACACAGTACTGTCAGAGCGTGGCTACCACGTCTAACGCAGCACCTCGAGCGTTCGTAACACAGTACTGTCAGAGCGTGGCTACCACGTCTAACGCAGCACCTTAAGCGTTCGTAACACAGTACTGTCAGAGCGTGGCTACCACGTCTAACGCAGCACCTTGAGCGTTCGTAACACAGTACTGTCAGAGCGTGGCTACCACGTCTAACGCAGCACCTTGAGCGTTCGTAACACAGTACTGTCAGAGCGTGGCTACCACGTCTAACGCAGCACCTTGAGCATTCTTAACACAGCACTGTCAAAGCGCGGCTAGCACGTCTAACACAGCACCTCGAGCGTTCGTAACACAGTACTGTCAGAGCGTGGCTACCACGTCTAACGCAGCACCTTGAGCGTTCTTAACACAGCACTGTCAAAGCGCGGCTAGCACGTCTAACACAGCACCTGTCCTACAAGAGCACGACAGGAACACAACAGAGCCAACACAGGTTACGGCAGGAGAGCACACACACAGAGGCAACAGGAGCCACACAGTGAGAGGTAGAGGAGTGTGTGTGAGCAGCAGCAACACTGGGCTGGGGAGGTGTGAGTCAGGCGGCCCGGACCCACGGGGAGGTGAGGCAGTACAGAACCCAACCCCACGCACAGGTGTGGGGTGGTGCTCCTGTCTCCCCTCACCCCCACCCCAGCACACAGGTGTGGGGGAAGTGCTCCTCTCTCCCACACATAAACATAAATGTTCTTTTTCCTTTACTGTCAATGATAAACTACAGTGGATGGCAGTCATAGGCTCCTTCACGTTGCTAACACTACAGTGCTAGCAAGTGTTCTCTTTTGCAGCAACAGCACATGACGCATGTGTTTGAGTGTAGTGAGTATGATGTTTGAGTGTGTAGCATGCACCGAGTACATTACAGTTCATTCAGTGTTTACCACACACCCACTGTCACGCCATCTCAACCAGCCAACAACGAATCAGAATGAAGATGTTCCAGGGCCCAATTACGCTCTTACTTGTCCAGTTCAGCTAACCAATAGCTTGACAGCTAACTCCTCTAGCCAAGCTGAGGTTATGTTTTACCAACTGGCTGTGAGTCAGATACTACCTCTGGTCGTGTACACTCGTCCATTCTGAAGCGTGAACCCAACTAGTATGATTGACTCTTTCCTCTCTGACTTAATGTTATAATGCTGCTTTAACTCTCTACTGTACATATCTTGGCGAAGGGAATATACGGGTAAAGAAAAAATTCTCCACACGTTTTGAGACTTGCGTTACAGTCAGGTACAACAGAGACATGAAATTTTGTATCTGCAATTATAATGCATAGTATTGTTTGAGTGTAAGGTTTGAGTGTGATGTTTGAGTGCAGTGTTCGAGTATGAAGCTTGAGTGCAACATTTGAATGTGTTGTTTGCATTTTTTGAGTGTTGCTGGAGTATGATGCTTGACTGTGATTCTTAGGTGTGTTGTGTGAGTGAGCCCTTTGACTATCATGTCTGAGTGTGTTGTCTGAGTGTTATTTGACTGTGATGTTTGAGTATAATTTTTGAGTGGAAAAATATGTCCAGTCAAACTGACCTTCACAACAGTAATGAAACCAGAGACGATCAATGCAGCAGAACTCACAATTAAGGCAGACGAAATGCCTGTGTTTGTACCTCGACCGGGAGAGAGCAAGAAAGGAACAGAGACAACTGAGAGAGAGAGAGAGAGAGAGAGAGAGAGCACAAAGGCACCTATGGCAGAAAGAGAGGACATGCGTTGACAGCTCAGTCTCCAGAGGAACACTAAGCACACTTAGACACAACCTCCTCCAGCACTAGCCCCCTCCAGCACTAGCCCCCTCCAGCACTAGCCCCCTCCAGCACTAGCCCCCTCTACCACCCAGATATAATCCAAAACAAACCATAACCCCCCTACTCATTCTCACACTCAGTCCTCATTCCCTTTCCCCAGTGTCAATACTTTCCTCACATCTACAGAGGTTTGCAACGAGACTAGTCCTGGAGCTAAAGGTGTGTTCTAAGAGGAGAGTTTAAGTGAACTACAGCAGAACTTCGGTACTCTAACAGCTCAGTACTCGACAGTTCGGTACTCAAATGCTTTGGTAAAAAAAGTCGCTCGGTAGTCGACCGTTTGCTCGGCATTCGACCAAATAAACATGACCTGCCAGAACATGTGGATCACTCTCCCCCAGAGTTGTCATTCAGTCCAAAACTTTGCTGAACTTTACTGTAAACTGTTTCGTGTTTCTTCGCATTTTTCGGTGTTTTTTTTTTATAGTATTTGTATAAATTAGCTACCATGGGGCCTAAGAAGATTAGTGATAACAGTCAACCAAAAACAAAATTGGCTAGTGTGCGTTTGCCCTGATGTAAACACTGCTTCTGCCTCTCCATATAATAATCCTTTTATTAATTTCAGCGTCTTTGTTGTGCTTCTAGATTATCTATCATGTTTCTGATATCAAGTTGGAATAAATGTGATAGATAACCCTTATTAATTTTAGCATAATTACACAACATTGTATTCGCGCCACCGCTAGTATCCGGCTATCAAAACGACTCATCAGATACTGAATGCTCCTTCTGCTGGCCCCTCCCTCTCTCTTCTACAGCTCATCACACTTCGGGCCCCTTTTATATTACGTTTGCTTTATATAGGGGATTTTTATTCACACGAAAAATAGATTTACTGTTATGCAGACTACTGCATTATTGAAAAAATATATAAATAATATCAGCGCATTTGTGAAGGTATATTAAACATACTGGTTGACGTGTATTGGACGTGTGACGTGATTTATTTACTCTTGAACATCAGCAAAAATCGAACATATCCGCTACTTTGAGCTCAATTTCAATTATTTTTATTCTGTAAACCATTCAGAATCATATCTGTTTCTGCAATATATCTTTCATTCTGTCAAACGAGACCAAGAAAACGAGAATACAACCATAAATACAATACGAAAATACACCGCAAAATCGCTGTTAGTGTATTTTTGTGTCTGAAACTGATTAATCAAATTTACATTATTACTTATGGGAAAAATTAGTTCGGTACACGAACAGATCGGCACTCGAACAGCCTTCTGGAACGATTTATGTTCGAGTACCAAGGTTCCACTGTAAACCTGATGACACTAGAAAGGATTAGGGATGATATAACAAGATACAAAATATTGAGAGGAACTGATAAGATGGACATGGACAGATTGTTTTAGAGACGGGAAACGGACGGCCCTGCTGGAAGTTCAAAACATTGATAAGCCGCAGGAATGTCAGGAAGTATTTCTTCAACCTTAGAGTAAACAGGGGGTGAATGACTTGGATAATGAAGTGATAGAGGTAGGATCCTTACATTAAGAAGAGGTACGATAAGGCTCTAGAAGGAAGGAGAGAGTGAACCTAGTAAAGACAAGCAAAGAAGCTGCGCCAGGAGCTGAAATCGACCCATGCAGCTACATATAAGTGAGAAAGTGTGCACACACACACGAATATCTATATTGCGTTGCACTGATTAGAACGTATGTTGAGGTAGAGAATACCGGGCACTAGGAATACCTTGCTAGTGTCACGCAGCGACAGAAACAAATCAAGTGTTACGTTTGTGAGGGACAGAGTACACAGCTACGTCAGTTTACAGTATACCTCCAGGGTAGGTGTCATAAAGTGCGTGGTACAGCCTACCTCAAGAGTAGGTGTCACACAGAGCCTGGTACAGCCAACCTCCAGGGTAGGTATCATTCAGTGCCTGGTACAGTCTACCTCCAGGGTAGGTGTCATACAGTGCCTGATAAGCCAACCTCCACATTAGGTGTCATACAGTGTCTGGTACAGTCTACCTACAGGGGAGGTGTCATACAGTGCTTGGTACAGTCTACCTCCAGGGTAGGTGTCATACAGTTCCTGGTATAGTTTGCCTCCACGGTAGGTGTCATTCAGTGCCTGGTAAGCCTAACTCCAATGTAGGTGTCATACAGAGCCTGGTGCAGCCTACCTCCAGGATAGGTGTCATACAATGCCTGGTACAGCCTAACTCCAGGGTACATCTCATACAGTGCCTGGAACAATCTACCTCCAGGGAAGGTGCCATGCAGTGTCTAGCGCAGCCTACCTACAGGGCAGGTGCCATACAGTGCCTGGTACAGCCTATCTCCAGGAAAGGTGTCATACAGCGCCTGGTAACACTCTACCTCCCGGGTAGGTGTCATACAGTGCACGGTACAGCCTACCTCCAGGATAGGTGTCATACAGTGCCTGGTGCACTCTACATACAGGGTAGGTGACATATAGTGCCTGGTACAGCCTACCTTCAGGGTAGGTGTCATCCACTGCCTGGTACACCTACTTCCGGGGAAGGTGTTTACCTGGAGAGAGTTCCGGGGGTCAACGCCCCTGCGGCCCGGTCTGTGACCAGGCCTCCTTGTGGATCAGAGCCTGATCAACCAGGCTGTTACTGCTGGCTACACGCAATCCAACGTGCAGTCTGGTGTCATACAGTCAGAGGTACAGTTTAGCTCCAGGGTAGGTGTCATACAGTGCCTGGTACAGTCTACCTCCAGGGTAGGTATCATTAAGATTTTGGTAGAGTCTACCTCCAGAGGTTTTATACAGTGTCTGGTAGAGATGACATCTAAGGAAGGTGTCATACAGTACCTGGTACAGCCTACCTCCAGGTTAGTTGTCATACAGTGCCTGGTACAGTCTACCTAGAGGATAGGTGTCATACAGTGAATGGTGCAGCCTACCTACAGGGTAGTTGCCATACAGTGTCTGGTACTGCCTACCTCCAGGGTAGGTGCCATGCTCATCCTTGTTCAGCCTTTCTTCAGGTTAGGTGTCATACAGTGTCTGGTACAGCGTACCTCCAGGGAAGGTGTCATACAGTGCCTTGTACAGGATACCTCCAGGGTAGGTGTCATACAGTCCCTGGAACAGTCTACCTCCAGGGTAGGTGTCAAACAGTGCCTAGAAAAGTCTACATCTATGATATGTGTCATAAATTGCCTAGTGCAGTCTACCTTCAGAAAAGGTGTCATACAGTGTCTGGGACAGTCTCCCTGGAAGTAAGGTGCCATGCAGTACCCGGTACAGTTTGCCGCCAGGATAGGTGTCATACAATACCTGGTTCATCCTGCCTCCGGGGAAGGTGTCATACAGTGCCTGTTGCAGTCTACTTCTAGGTTAGTGACATCCAGTGCCTGGTACAGCCTACCTCCAGCGTAGGTGTCATACAGTGTCTGATAGTCACCCTTCGGCGTAGGTGCCATACAGTGCCTGCCACACTCTACCTCCAGGGTAGGTGTCATACAATGCCTTTTACAGCCTACCTCCAGCGAAGGTGTCATACAGTGCCTGGTACAGCCTGCCTCCAGGGTAGGTGTCATACAGTGTCTGGTACAGCCTACCGCCAGGCAGGTGTTATACAGTGCCTTTTATAGCCGACCTACAAGGATGGTGTCATACAGTGCCTGGTACAGCAAAACTCTCGGGTAGGTGTCATACAGTACCGG